AGTGGTTGAGTCACCATCCCTGGAAGTATTTAAAAGACGTGTAGATGAGGCACTTAGGGACATGGTTTAGTGGACACGGTGGTGTTGGGTTGACAGATGGACTTGATGATCTTAGAGGTATTTTCCAACCTTAATGATTCTGTGATATCCAGTCCACTGAAACATTTTATCTGCTGAGCTACCCTAACCAAAAGAATGGAACTGCAGGGTTTGCCTTCGACTGCTCTACATTTCGGGTAGTCTTTTACCTCAGATATTATCTCTATACTTTAAAAATCCTAACCTATCAAGTCATACATAACTGTAAAGCAGCAGGAAAACAAAGTTCAGTTAGCCAACTGAAACTAGGATTTCATGCAATGCAAGAGGTACTTAAATTGGCTTAAGCAACCCCCATCCCTAATTCCAGGTACACCGTCCCACTTGTTTCCACCCTTGCACTACTCCTTGACCACAGTGAATTTGCTCAGGTAACCAACTACAATATGTTCTTTAAAATAAGTAGGAAATACGCCACCACAGTACTCTGTCATCCCCAACGAACTATCAGTCTGGCTCTCCATGCAGCTGCACGAACACTTGTGCCTGCACAACACAGTGAATACCATGGGGACAAGAAGTCCAAAATGAAAAGATGACACGATGCTATTAAAATTGACTCTGCCAAAGAAATACATGTCAAAGCACAGCTTCACATGCCATTAAAATCTGACACATACTTGAGTCCTTTATTTTCTCCCTAAACTGTAAAAGACATGAGAAGAGGTGCTCTACGTTCAGTTGTTTCAGATTCTTCTCACAAAAATAAAAATAAAATCTACACTTACAGGGAGATAACAGGAAAAATACTGTTATTAATATCAAGCAAGCATCTCCCTCCATTAATAAAAATTAATTAAACGTAACATGACCTGATGTCTCAAATCAAATAGCCCAACTGAGATGACTTAGCTGAACCACGCAGGACATTCATTCAAAATTTGCTTGACTTGCAACTGATTCTACTCAAACTGAGTTTCAGTTCCTCAGGTTCAAGATAATGAAAAAAAGAACCAGCCTGAAACTCTGTTGTGTTGGTATTTTCTGATTAAGTAATATTGATTTAAAAAAGACAAACAGTATTCAATAGGATATGGTGACTGAAGCATTAAAATCTAAGTGCCAGCTAGAAGGCAATCTGATAAAAAAGAAAGAAATCCCTATCACGTAAGAGACTCAGGATGGATAAAATTAAATTCAAAATATGTAAATGTAACAAAGCAAACAGAATGTGACATTAATATTATTAGCAATATATATTAATAGTCTACTGTGTGGCACCTGATTTAAACTGTAGGAAATTAATTTTTTAAGTTAAGTGTAACTTTGCAGCGTAAGTTTTCTTGACGTCAAATACAAATCTTCATTAACCAGGGCCCATTTTGTAAAGTCAGTTTTCCATCTCCAAAGATCCTGAATAACAGAACTTCGAAGTGAAATAATTTGTACTGTATACTGTTGGCCATACATCTTGTTATGCAAAGGGTAACAGGCAGCTGCTCGTATAAGATGATGGAAGATAACAAGCATAATTGGAAGAAAGGGACACTAAGTTCCAAAGCAACCATTTTCACAGTAATCTGACTAGAAAAGTTATTTGTATCAAACTGTTTAAGTACTTACGTTGACAGAATATCTAATGGCAGTGTCAGTAGTGAGCTCACAGAGCCAGTAAACAAGCACTTGTAGATACGACCTGCATGAAGAAACAGAAGCATGGTATAAATTCAATTTTGGTCATAGCCTCACTTGGAAAGGACCATAGGTACCCTCTTTTCACCTGGTGCCCTAACTAAATTTATGACAAGGAAAAAAAATCTCAACTTCCAGTGAACTAACATAACTTAAGACCATACACAACCACATGGAACAAAGTTGTATTTATTTTAGCTGAACATTCTTGATAAAATATACATTAAAAGTGTAATAACTGCCATACTAGGTTAGACCCAAGATTCATCTAGACCTGTCTCCAGCACTGGTCACGCCAACAGATGCCTAAGGAATAATATGGAAACAGGTTAAAGATACTTGCAGCAATACTTCCTCAGTACATTCTCATATGCTTCGTGCAAAGCAGCTCAGTTCCTGTGCCACAGTATCTCTGTGCTAATTAATCCTTGATGGATTTTGTTCAATCATATTTTCAACCTGTATAAACTTTTTATATTATGATATCTTGTAGCAAGGAGCCTCACCATTTCATTATCTGTTTTAAATAATTGTTTTATGAATTAATACTTGATGCTAGTTAATGTTGGCTTTTTACTACGATTCTTCAGTCACATAGTCTTAAAAGTAGGTTATCAGTGTTTATAGTCTACTTCAGAAAATTAGGTTCAGATCCATAGGAAGATGACACAGATGCTCAGAATAGGATGAGGGAAGAATTAAGGCACCCATACCCAGAAATGCAATTCTTAAGATTCTCATTCCACCCTTTAGGCAGGCATAGGTACCCAAGTATACACTGGCACACTATGGTTTCTGGGACCTAGAATAAATAGCTCAGTTATTACCTCTTGGTTAAACCTTATAGAAAGTTTATGTTTCTACATGTCTCATGAATCAATCCACCAGAAATGCCCAAAAGGTCTACTGTTTATGCTCATCTTATATAAGACATAATCTAGCACTTGAAGGAAGTTAACACTTATACCCCCCGTGCAATCCACCCCTCCCACTGAAGTTCTGACATTGGGCAGAAAGTAATACAAAACAGTAATACAAAATTCGAAGGTCTAGAGTAAGTCACAACACAAGAGACAATGGCTGTAGCAGATCCAATGAAAATGTTTGGTCTCATTGTAGTCAGTACTACTTCCACATTTTATATTGAACAGTCACTGAATCAAATTTAGCAAGATGATACTGATCCTCTGCTGCCAGTGAGCTTCAACAGTTTGCCTCTGCCTAGTATCTAGCTACATGGTGGGGGAACTTCAAAGGGGCAAGATACCACTGTGAACTCTGCCAGGCTGAAAAGGTCAAAGAACGCAAGCCTTATAACTCCCGATTACACTACACTGGTAGGAAACCAGTGTAACAAAACTCGTGGGATTTTATGGAATAGGAAGGGGATTTTACTACACAAAATCTCTAAGCAAACTGATCTCTGTGCATTTCACTTGCTCACTCTCATACAAGCACTAAGACATGTATGCCCAAGTGGTCTGGACAGGATCACTTGTGGGCAACACTGAAGACAAAGAACATCAGCTAGCAAATCCTCATCATATCTCTTGGATTCTTCTCCACTGGCATTTACGTACTGATTTTAGACTTGCCTTTCATACTCTTCATGACTGGATGCCATTTGGGATCTTTGCCTCATTGTTTTGTTTCATCCCTCTTGAGCCTGAGGCAAAATTCACAGTTCTTCTGTTTTCCTTATCTGTATATCTTATAACTCCAACCCTGTTCTTCATCTTCTTGACACATTATATTTAGTCTGTTTGTTTTTCCTCGATTTGAATGAAATCACATATACAGTGCTCTTTGGCAAACAGCAAATACTCCTTTTAGCCCTTCTTCTGCTGGTTCTTCTGATGATCACATACACAATTCCACTCATGCCAATTTAAGTAGTTCTATTACACATCTCTACAATTTTAACCACTACACAATTACATGAAACATGTATACAACCATTCTCTTCAGCTATATTGGTTTTTTTAAAAAATGGTAACTGAATCACTCCATAAAAATACATTCATGTGCCATATCGGTATGTGAACAGTGATTTCTAAAATTTGAGGTGAAGGAAGCACTTCAGACAACCCAACTCCCACTCTAGCATTTCCTACTGCCTTAGTGTACGCATTCACTTTACTCAGTGTGTACACCTCTTTGTTACCCCACGTACTGTACAGGTACCTTGGGTATTTCACTCTAGGAACCATGCAGCTAAATACAATTATCACAGAGAATAAAACCACTTTAGATTAAATTGGCTCAATTAATCCTACTTCTCTGAACAGATCATAGCAAATTGTATAACTGGCTTTTTTCATCCACTAATGTAAATATGCTTTGTGCTAACAGAATAGCAACAGCATATCAGAGCCTGCTGGGATTAGGCTGAGGGTATGCACAGAGAGATAAATTCCTTTTACTTAACTATATAAGATGGGTATGCAATAAAGAAGTGAAATTACAAAAAAACAATGTAGAATTTATCCCACAATGGGATAACTGCATGATTAGCACGTTAATCTGGAAGACAGATTTGTTCAACCATACATCTCCTTTGGTATGTTTGACAAGTATTTTATGCTGCAGCTTTTTCTTCCAGATATAAAATAATGAGAAGAATACTTCCTTGTGAAGCCAGCCACACAATTATGTGAGCCATATGACAGAAACAGGGAAGGCAAAAGATTACATTAAAAAGTATTTATGTATTACAGAAAATTAAAGATTACATTAAAAGCATTTAATGTAACAAGACAAGACCTACACAAAATCACATCCACGAGACAGATCCTGACAGATTTCCAAAGTAAATGGATTTTTCAAGGTTTGTTAGACTGAACAGCTCTATCACATTGGGTATCTTCCTGTGCAAATATGTTGCCCTTCACAGTACATTAATTCTTAAAGCAATCCATAAACAGGGGTACATGTACAATGTTAGAAACAGAAATTAAGACAAAGTAAAAAAAAAAGTCACTCATAAATCAAAATCATAAGTCAGTTATGTTGGCTTAGTAAATGAGTATTAAAAACCAAAAATGACATTTGTAAAAAACAAAAAAACCCAAAAAACCCAGAACTAAGTTGTAGGTGGTGACTTCTAGTAACATTTCAGTATTACTGAAGAGCCAGCATGAGGTTTTCAGACAGTTACGAAACATAACTACCTTAATTAATCTATTGAATATGACTTTGCTGTCCTTTAGAAGTTTTAGTAAGAAAAGCATATGATATTTGCATTTCGAAAGACAACAGTAGAAAACCAAGATTCATCTAAAAACCCAAGGAAGAAATTTAAAATATATTTTAGTTTCAATGTAAATCTTGTTTACTCCCATGCCCAGAAAAGCTCTTTTTCTTGCACAGGAAGGACAGGCTGCAGAAACAGGATCGCTCTTTTATAGCTGATGCCAGTATTGTGCTATTCTCAAACTAAGCCAGTGCCAGCTACAAATAAAAGCACAGAACATACTGACAAACTGTCTAGGGAGATGCATTTACTGGCTCCCTGCCCTTTTGTTCAAGGGGTATATTACTGTTTGTAAAGATGCACTTCCAATCATTTCCTTGACTCAACACTATATCCCTTTTGCCTTTTTTCATCTTTTCTATATTTTTAGCTTGTTGAAACATCAATAGTTCTCTTTCCATTTATATTTGAAAAGTGAATTTCGAACTGGATACTACAGTAATTTAGATGTGCGCTCTCTTTTTCTGTTCCTTTACTACTTATAGTAGTACAGTCTTACTAATCAATTTATGTATGACTACAAAGGAATTTAACTTTTCGTACTAAAAAAATGCTGCACTTTCATTTATAGATGGTTAGAAAAAAACAGGACAATTCTTCTAATCTAATATTAATATACGGTATCAAATAAAAACTTCCACGTAGATTTCAAAGACGATAATTGAAAAGAGGCATTTTATTGGAATAAGAAGTTTAAAAGCCCTTTTATGCATTTTCTCCTATCTCTTAACACCTTCCTGCATTGCACTACTGGCTTGAGTCAAATAGCTAGAACTTCCAAGTGAAAATAAGTGAAATAATGTCTTTGAATTTATGATTTATTTTATTAAATAAACCAACAATGGTCTCACAAAACTTTGCTGCAGGAAGTGACATATTTTCCTGCCTATAAGAGCATTACAGTACAAAAAATTAATACTTACATGCAGTAAGAGGTACTACTCCCAACCATGCAAAGGCCACAAGTGTATAATGAAACCAGTATCGTATTGCTGTGCCAATACTCGTAACCAGTCCAGCAAAGATGTCTTGGATTGGAAGCCGCGAAGGCATATCTGGGGAATAAACTGTGTAGAAAAGGCACTTATAAAACACTTCTTCCTTTAAAGAAGCATTTATGTAAAAGTCCTGCCAACTACAAAATGCTTGTATTTGACAAAAGCTTAATAGAAGAATAAGCATATTTTATAGATTCCCAAGAGACGACCCCAAACAAGTAACAAAAAAACTTCACATCACATATTTGTTACATTGTGTACTGAGTGGAATGGGAAAATTAATAAAATCCATGCTAGTTTTTGACTTAGAGACGTTTTCTTAACAGCTTTATCAACTGTAAACTCTGATTATCTCAAAATAAGCTCAAGCCTGCAAGCAAAAGCAGATTCTAAATTCAGTAGCCCTCCCACTTAGCACTACCTCAACGATATTCCTGTCTGTTACTTATAAACCTAGTTCAAGGAAAGAGCACAAGCAACAAGAGCAATTAGCAATTTTGCATACTGTCAATTTGTTTGTGCTAGATAATTTAGATTCCACTTGCTATCCAACAGCACACACACAAAAAAAAAAATCAGCAAAATGAAAGTACCACACAGACAGGAAAACTGAAGGGAACTGATTAAGTATCTACAGACATTGAAATTTACACAGAATGACTTTTACTTTCAATAGATATCTTTTTCATACCATGCAAGATTTCTTCTAAGGTCACTCCTATTACAGAATACGATGCAAATCTCTCAGCCTGTATAGATGTTTTCATAATAGTACATTTTCTTGACTTTTTAAATTCAACAGCTATATATTACATAAACCTATCCCTACTCAAAAGCCAAGAAAAACAGCAACAGGCCGCCTTCTTTTGCAAACAATTAGAAAACATCTATCTCTAACAACTTCATTACATTTAGTTAGCTTCTACACACTTACATGGATGCCAAGAAGTGGTAATGCACAGTATCGATAACAGATTTGAATAAAGAAGATAAACTACAGTTAGGAGTTGCACAGAGACATTGCTGCCTGTATGTTTATGTTGGAAACAGCTGAGCTTGAAGACTTCAACACATTTAATTAATGGACTATTTTTTAAAACCTCACATACTTTTAACTGCATAAGGGAACTCAATTTTTATAAGAACTACTAGAGAAAAGTTTTCCTTCCCTCTCATGGACAATCCTTTGACTTCGAAGTCTGAGAAACACAGCTTCATGCAATCTATCTGCATCCCCCCTTTTCTCTAATGAACATCCCTGCTACCTTTACTTACATTCCTAATCATTCTTCTACTAATCTCGGAGAGGAAGCCTCTACAGGGGAAAACCCCTCTTCTCTCCAGGGGTAAAGAGAACTCCAGAACATAGAAAAGCAGTATCAACATGCAAAAGTAGCCAAAGAATGGGAGAGTTTGGTGCATTTCAACAACATGTGGATTATATTTGACACAAAGTAACAACAAAACAGCAACCACAAGACAAATAGCAACTGGTTTTAGATTTCAAAGGTTCTTAGTTGTCAGGTATCTGGCAAGGAACTGGAATTCATAAAAAAGGGACTAAAAATATAACACTAGGAAAGTGTAGCTGTGAAAACATAGAGCAGTAAATTGAAAGCAGGACAAATATTTTGACACTGTCTACCAATTTACAATTTTCTTATTACAGAAACTGATTTAGTATACAATTTGGTAGTACCACAGAAAATGCCAATTGAAGACTTACGAACAATCTCTCAGCTCACACTGAACAAACATTCTGGAAAATTATGAGAGGAGACAAGCAGACCTTTGTTAAGGGTTCTACAAGAATATGTACCTAGAGTACATTTGTTACACATTTATGGTATCACTCAGACAAAATTGAACTCAGCAGATACTTTGCAGCTTATTTTTTTCATTTTCAAAAAAATATTTTGATCAACACTTTGGAACTGCAAAAGAGGCTACAAGGAAAACTTTAACTCTGCATTAATGATTTATTTGTTAGGGGGAAGTTGGGAGGGTTTAAAATTAAAAAAAAAAAGCCATCTTTCAGGAATTACTGAACACACACAGGGGACTGTAAAAAAGGATGTCGCCCCTAACTCAGTAAAGCTGAAGTGGTTCTAAATGTTAGCACCTTTACATACTCATTTTTCTAAAGGCTTTAGGATTATAAGTGAGCATTCAAATAAATGCACACTCAGAGAAGACAAGCTGCATCCCCCAAATTTTAACAATTTGGTGATTTTTGATGATTTCAGGAGCTGGGGGTGCAGGGGGTGGAGGGGAAGACTGCTGGTTTTTCCTCTGCTTTGCCACACCTCAAAATACATAAAGCTTCTACCACTAGAAGCTTTATACCATGATGATAAGATAAAGTCCTTCTATGTCCTACAGCATTTGGGTAGGTGAAATGCAAAAATTCCTAGCATGACAGGAAGCCCTGGTGTGCAAGCACACTGCAGCACTGCAGCTTGCTGTCAGAGATTTTCATAGCTAATCCCCCCACTTGTGCCTGTCATCTACCACTATTTTCTCTCCACATTCCACCCCCTTTTATCCACTCCCTACTACCACTGTGAGGCCTGAGGCTTTGACCCCTGCCACCGCGGTACACATCCTCTTCATTCCCTTTCACACACTTGTCCTCCTCATCCTTCCTCCATCCCTTAATTCTCATCCCAGTAATCTTTCCTAAATCAGCTTGAGAAACCAATTTCCTGCATTATTTACCGTAGTTCCTCCAAATAAAAATCGCTCTACTAGAGGCCAATTAAAGCAATAGTTTTTTCTATTACAGCATGAAATTCAAACAGACTTTGGCTGAGCATAAGGGAGCTTTCATAGCTTTAGTTCAACTTCTTTGAGCTGTCCAGGCCATGTTTGGCTGGTTGTTTTCTGGGGGTGGGTTTTTGTTCCACACACACCACCCTCCCCCATAAGCCGAACTTTTTCAAGAACACAAATATTAATTTTGCTTCCCCAAAGCAGACAGCTCAGCACAAAAATCTGCTATTACACTGACGCAAATAAGGTAGGAAAAACACAAGGCTGTCTTTAGAAATTTTCCTTCTCCTAGAAAAAATAAGGAAGAAAGCAGACAATAATGATTAGTAGTTTTCAGGGAAACAGTTTGTCAATAGATTTCAGCTGACAAAAAAATCCAGAACAGGAAAGTGGAAAAAAGTTCCCAGTGCTCTATCTTACCAAAGTGATACCTTTAAGTTTATTACAGGAAGCTTTCTCATCATTCCCATTTCCTCAGAGGCTATTTAGTAGAAACATCACACAACTGTACTTTGAAAAACACAAAAGG